CTCTTACCAATCGAGAAAGTACCGGACATCAGCATCGATGTAAAATGTGTAGTGTATATTTATTTCGTTCTACACCTGCTATCGAGGATCCACGCCATGTATACCTGACAAGCGGCACTTTCGATTGTAGGCACTCACTATGCAGATGTATGGCCAGTTGGACTCGACTTATGACGGGAGTATGGGATCTCTGCAATCTGCGTTTTCATGAATGATGCCATGTGATTGGAAACTGACCAAGGGACAGCGCCTAACTACGTAACACCTTCCCAGCCAATTGCGCTTGACAGTCGACAGTCCCGCAAATGGATGAATGTAACCCAGATCTGTCTAATGATGATCCGTCAACCTTCAATTCTTCGCAGCCCCCTACAAGGAAGAAACTACCAGTACATGCGTATTTTGACCGCCTACTTCAACTCAGTCTACCGTTTCACCATCTCTTGGCGATGGTGGGGTGACTGGTTTGACTGGTCAGCACAACCTGCGACTGCCCAGCGTCTGGGCGTTTCACCTTCAGGGGAAGACTGTTTCGGCAACGCTGAATGGCTGATTTGCGCCAGCAACTGTCAGAGCCAGGCTGTCGAGTCTTGTTGACTGTGTCAGGCAGATGAGGTTGCTTCACCACTGACTCCATATGAGCAACATGGATTGGCTGCTTTCTCAGTTCAATCTGCGCTTTCTCTGGTTTCTTCGCCTGAGTGGGCCGGCTTACCAACATGGGAGCTATTCGCACTCTCGGCTGTTCTTAGCTGGGGATTGAAGCTCAGTTCAACTTTTGATGCTCCGTCGTGATTAGGGCCTCTGAGGTCTTTATTATCGTGGGCTTTTCCCAGGGGCCCTCTTGACAATGAACTAGACCAAGTCATTCACTTCTTTGTCTTTCTCTTCGGCCTGGTTTCGGCTCTTTCCCTTTACCATTCATTTTTTTGTATCTTTTCTATATTCTTTTGTCTTTACAATATTCGCAGGTGCCCAGGTCTGGACTTGGACATACAGAGTACACGCTCTTTAATTTACTTCCGGCTTGATCTCTGTCTTGTTTGGAGGCTTTCCACCTTCAGCTGCTAGAAGCAGCAAATACGATCATTGATTTGAAGACTGGGAATACAGGCAATATCGAGTCAATATGCATTCACTACAGTCTTTTCTCTTCATGCTGCTCCTAGGCTATGGTGTGTTCGCCGCACCAACGTCGCCACTAGCTCAATCTCAGGGCAGGTCCTTCAAGGTTGAGCGGATCAAGCGTGGACACTCCATTCATGGCCCGACTGCTCTGCGCAGAGCCTATCTGAAATTTGGCATAGTTCCAACGACTTTTGGCGTCGATCTGTCGGACTTTGAGCCTTTGAACACGACATCTGTCTCAGGCGCCGGTGCCAATCTACTCGTGGCCGATGTCAAGGAGCCAGAGCAGACCGGCGCAGTCAGTGCGCAATCTGTTCAGAACGATGCTGCTTTCGTCAGTCCTGTGACGATCGGTGGGCAGAAAATAGTGATGAACTTTGACACTGGTTCAGCAGACTTGTAGGTTCATTGATTCGAATCATGCACCAACATAGCTTACTGACTGGGGATCTCACCAGCTGGGTGATGAACACGGAGCTTCCGGCGAGTGCTCAGGTCGGCCACACTGTCTTCAATCCTTCCAAGTCATCCACTTTTAAGAAGATGGAAGGAGCTACTTTTGAGATCAAATACGGCGACTCGTCTTTCGCTAATGGTGGTGTCGGAACTGATACCGTTGACATTGGTGGCGCGACCATTACTGGTCAAGCGATTGGTATCCCGACCAGCGTGTCCGATTCCTTCGTTCAAGATACCACCTCGAACGGCCTCGTAGGCCTGGGATTTTCGTCCCTCAATACCGTCAAGCCTCAGCAGCAGAAGACGTTCTTCGAGAATATCGCCAACAGTCTGGACGAGCCAGTTATGACGGCCCATCTGAAGAGCAATGGTGTCGGCGAGTACGAGTTCGGAATCATTGATCAAACCAAGTATCAAGGCGACATGATCAACGTGACCGTGGACTCCTCGAGCGGTTTCTGGCAGTTCCAGTCGGCTCACTACAAGGTCGGAGACGGTCCTATCCAGACCCTCCAGAATACCCCTACTGCGATCGCTGATACCGGCACTTCATTGATGCTTCTCGATGACACAATGGTGAATGCCTACTACGCGCAGGTCAAAGGCGCGCAGTATGCCAGCAGCGCCGGCGGTTACATCTATCCCTGCGGAACTGAACTGCCTAATCTCGCGGTTGCTGTCGGCCCAAAGCACTTGGCGACGGTACCTGGCACGTACCTGAATTTTTCTGAGGTTGGCATTAACAAAACGACGGGACAAACTGGTGAGTCGATCGATCTTCGTGCACGAAGGTTCATGTACTGACACGACGTCTTGTAGTATGTTTCGGTGGTATTCAATCCAACCAGGGCACTTCGATGCAGATCCTCGGTGATGTCTTCCTAAAGGCCTTTTTCGTCGTGTTCGACCTGCGAGGCCCATCTTTTGGACTTGCCTCGCCCAAGTAGTCTGACTGCTTGTTGTCGAAAACGTAATGTCTTTTAGATGTTACAGCTGACCCCATATTCGTTCTGTAAATTCTTACAGATAGACTGTCTCCATAGATCTAAATAATACACCGCAACTTGATTTCCGATATTGCAAACTGGAATCTGTCGTCTGTCGAACAGCATATTATTGCACATAGCGTGCATAAAGATAATTATACTTTGATGACTCAGCTGATACTGAGTCACCCAGCCCTAGCTTAAGTTTAGGGGGAAAAGAAAAATTAAAGGTAAAAAAGAGACTAACCGGATGCAGTCGGTCATCGACACTGCGGAAGCCAAGAAATGCTGTAGCAAGACGAAGTCTGATGGTATCTAGCCAAATCCAATTGTAATCAGCTCTTTTATCAAGTCAATTATACAAGGATCCCGTGACACTAGGGATCTGGGTGTTAGTCAAGTTGAATTTCCTCAAGGTTACCGTGAGTCTGACGGGGACCGCCAGAACAACAGCCCCGCGGATCAGTCGACCCTCCAGTTTATTATTACTACGCCTGAAGCCGATTTCTGCTGCCCCTCTTCTTAACTTCACCACCTCGCCTCTGCCCTGCTTCGCCGTTTGTCGCCCATTCGCAAACATGGCTATCAACTCTGCACCCGAGTCTTCTCTCCTCTCCCTCCTCTACCGCTCGTACCCTGCTGCAGTTTCTCCCGACGCCACAGAGCTTGATCTTCTCCATGCCTCGCCCAAAATCTTCCCTCAGACGACTTTCTCCGTTGAGGAGCAGGCTTCAATCAAACAATGGCTAGACACCATTTCTGGTCTCCAGAATGCCTTGACCAAAGACGACAAGTCCGTGATTACGGCCATCCTCGGACAGCTGAACAGTCACCTGGCCGCGCGCACAACTTTGCTGGGAACCAAGCCTTCCGTTGCTGATATCGCCGCATACGCTCTGCTCGCTCCCGTCGTTGAGAAATGGACCCCCGAAGAACGCACAGGCCAGCAAGGATACCATCACATTGTGCGTCACATCGACTTTGTGCAAAATAGCCGCCTCTTCGCCCTTCAGATCCCCGACGAGGAGAAGATCAGCATCGACGTGAACGACGTGCGGTTTGTTCCCAAGCCCGTGGACCCCAAGGAAGAGAAGGAGCGCAAAAAGAGGGAGAAGGCTGCGGCCCAGAACCCGGATGCTGGCAAGCCTCTCGTCGTTGGACAGGGCAAGCCCCAGAAGGCGGCGAATGGCGGCGCGGTCGATCAGGCCACTGACTCCGCCACTGACTCCGCCGCTGGCGCGCCGCCCAAGGTTAACAAGAAGGAGAAGAAGGAAAAGAAGGAGAAGGCGCCCAAGCCTGCTCCCGCGCCCGCTGCTCCCCCCTCTCCGTCGCTCATCGACCTCCGCGTTGGTCACATTCTCCGTGCCATCAACCACCCCAATGCGGACTCCCTCTACGTTTCTACCATCGACTGTGGCGATGCTCCCGGCACTGAGAATACTTCGCTGGATGAGGAGACCGGCAAGACCGTGCGCACCGTATGCTCGGGTCTGAACGGCCTCGTTCCCCTGGAGGAGATGCAGAACAGGAAGATCGTTGCCGTCTGCAACCTGAAGCCAGTAACTATGCGTGGTATCAAGTCTACAGCCATGGTTTTGGCAGCATCGCCCCGCGTTGCCGAAGGCGAGGACTCGCACGCTGGACCCGTTGAGCTGGTCACCCCTCCCGCCGACGCGCCTGCCGGTACCCGCATTGGCTTCGAGGGTTGGTTTGACGGCGAGCCCGAGAAGGTGCTCAACCCCAAGAAGAAGGTCTGGGAGACCTTCCAGCCTGGATTCACCACCACGGACAGCCTGGAGGTTGCGTTCGACATGAGCGCGGTTCCCGCCGTGCATGGCCAGGAGGGAAAGCCGGCCCTCGGCAAATTGGTTGCTAAGACCGGAGGAGTCTGTACAGTGAAGTCTCTGAAGGGAGCTACTGTTCGGTAGAGAATTTATCCAGGAAAAAGTGCATTCTTCCTTTGTCTTTCAATGAGTGGAAATGGTTACAAGGAGTGGTCCACGATTTCGTGCAGAGGCAGCAACATAAATAGCATTTCCCCTCTTAGCATCAACATGTCCAACGAGAAATGAACGTTTCAGTTTTTATTTTTATTTTATTTTTTTATTCTCTTCTTTTTCTTGCGGACTCCATTTGTATCTGCAATCTCTCTATTCGAGACCACCCAAGGCAATAAGGCATCAGTCACCCCGCAAGCCCCTCTTAGAAGCTTAGCCGACCCCTCATTATCTGCAAAGGCCGTTTCTAGAGTCTAGTCTAATGTCTAGAGAATAAATCATTATCATACGACTACTCTTTGCGCGGTTCAGTTCCGCAACTCATTCTGCCATATAATACGAGGCAATCGGGAACCCCGATGACCCAGTCCCGACAGTAACTGATACGACTAACTCACCCAAGCTAGAAGCACAAGGTCTTCACTTCACAATGAGAGCTGTCCGGTTCCATGGCCGCGGCGATATCCGTGTCGACGAGACCGATGAGCCCGTCTGCGGCGAGGGCCAGGTCAAGGTTACCGGCACCTCCTGTTTGCCCTTCTAAGCAAGTAGACTAATATGGATAGATCCGGCCTGCCTTTGTAGGGATCTGCGGAAGCGGTATGCTCATCGTGCTTCATTTGTGGTCAATCTGACGGGGCTTACATGGTATATAGATCTGCACGAGTACCTCGCTGGTCCCATCACAATTCCCTCGACGCCGCATCCAATCACGGGTGGGAGTGTCCCCGTCACCCTGGGACATGAATTCAGTGGTGTGATAGAGGAGGTTGGTGCGCGCGTTTCACGACTGAAAGTCGGTGATTACGTGGCTGTCAGACCGAATCTGTATGATGGGACGTGTGCGAGTTGTTTAGCGGGTTGGCGGAACTGTTGTCAGAATCTGGGATTTATCGGGTATAGCAGTGAGTGAGTTTCTGGGTGAATGGATAGAAATGTAGCGCTGATATTTGAGCAGGCGATGCAGGAGGTTTGTCAGATCACGTTGTTGTAGGTGAGAAGCATGCCATTCTGTTGCCGGAGGGTTTCCCTCTTGACCTTGGGGGTGAGTTTTATTCCTTTCTACGGATGGTACAAGATAGGATCGGGTGATTAACCTTCGGTGCATATGCAGCCCTTGTCGAACCCCTTACCGTGGCCTGGCATGCAGTTAGCCGCGCCTCCGTCCGGCCTGACGACACCGTCCTCGTGGTAGGGGGAGGACCGATCGGCCTCGCTGTCGTTCAGGTCCTGAAAGCGCGCGGAATCAAGTCCGTCATAGTCTCCGAAGTATCCTCACAGCGTAAGCAGTTTGCGAAAGAACTAGGTGCGACCGAGGTGATTGATCCGCGAGTGGATGATACTGTGGCTTCAGTTCGCGCAATGACAGCAGGGGAAGGGGCAGCCATCGCCTTTGAATGCTCTGGCGTGCAGGTGGGCTTCGACACGGCTGTTCATGCTATTCGAGCGAGGGGAACGGTGACCATAGTGTCGCTGTGGGAGGAGAGGCCTAAGATCGATGCGCTTGACATCGTTTTGCACGAGAAACATGTCATTGGCGCTGTGATCTGTGACGATGGTGATTTCGAAGCTGTCATTGACGCGATTTCATCAGGCATGTTCCTGTTGCTGCATGGAGCCCGATTATTACTGGTTATGCTGACGAGCATATAGGAAAGCTCTCCCCTCGAGCGATGATCACGAGCAAGATCCAGATGGAGGACGTGGTGGCCAAGGGGTTCAAGGCTTTGATTGACGAGCGGGACAAGCATGTCAAGATCCTAGTTGAGGTGTCTACATGACAAAAGCCATCAAACAGCAAATAATCAATAGTCTAGACGCCAGAAGCTCGCGATGAGCTGAATACGAATCATCCCATACTGCGGAAGAAGCAATTATCTTCCACATGGCTTGCATCGGATCTAGGGGCGCAGCGCCATTTGGCCGTAACTTTCGGTAAAGCCCGATAGAATGTCAGGCTGATTGGCAGGCGCAAATGATGCAGCTCAGCTTCCAAATATGGGTATAGACACGTGTTGGATACGATTCGGTGGTGTTTGCAATCAGACTAGTCCCGTCATCAGCGTGCATCTTCGCAACGATTTGGGTATTCCGAAGCGAGCAGATCATTCCTTGGTGCATCTCACCATAGACTATCTGAATATCCGATTTATTGTGATCATGTAGCGTGTACTCCGTGGACCAACCCTCGATAGAATATCCGATGTGTCGATACAGTATCTCGAAGTCAGAATTAAGTACTCACCCATGTAGTTCTAGTGTTCTACAGTTCTAGCTCTTCGGAACCGACTAGAATCAGCCTAGACTGTTATGTGTTAATCCATCCCAGACAAATCAGTAATCACCCAATGTGCTAATGTGCGGATTTGGTTGGCTGCATACGAACAGGCGTTCGACCGCGCTATTTGATGAGCGGCCAAGACCGCCACCGTTAATGACAGTGTCCTAATTTTGGACTAGTCGTTTGGTCGAAAACAGGTTCTATATTTGTCTCATGTGTTGTTCATCAGCATTTGATCACTTGTTAGTAGAAGTGGTACGGAGTAGAACKGTTTCAGTTCAAGAGGTGGGACAGTAGGAGTATTATTATCCACTGCATGATTCGGACCGTTGGACAGTGCTCAGTGCAGTTGGATTTGTCATATTCTGTCTGGCAGGAACTATAGATCATCACCATTGGATATTATACTGCTTGAAATAGAAGATGTCTCACCTCCATCGCAACTGATGGATGGCGAGTGTTGGACTATGGAGGAGAAACCCTCCGCTTTCCAGAAACAGACAGAATCGCGCAATTTATTCTGATACAATCATCATTTGACACAGATCTGTAGAAACTTTTATCCCCTCACTCTCTTCCACGATGATGGAGGCCAAAACTCGGACTTTTGAGGTCAAGTCTTCCAGTAACCCTTCTCGCCTGCCAAAAGATTCAGACCCCCGTCCTCTAGACACTACTACTACCTATGCTTCGCCAAGTGGCTCTCCCCCCACTCAGTCCGCCGGCTCGTTTGACTAGTCTATAACCTACTCCGTAGTCCAGCGAGTTCCGATTCAGCGCGCAGCGCTGGGTTCTGTTCAAATCGTCGCCGTCCTTATTTACAGCTCTCATATCAATCTCAGCCTTGTTTTTTCTTTCCTTTTTCGCTTATCACTCTCTTTCAACCATTCTCCTGCAGTTGTACATTCGTTTCTCGCGTCCGACTGCAGTTTTAATTTCTTGTTAGACATCCTCCCTAAATCGGCCCCATTTTTAGCAAAGTCAGACTCCTTTTCATCTGAGGATCATCTGATATATATAACTCTGAAACAGTGACGTTCAAGTTTCTGTCGTTATAGCCCCCTGTGGTTGCATTGCCATATTCTCTTCCGTTTCAAACGCAAACTATGTCATGTTGATTTGATAATCTGTACACAAGTGTCTACATCCTAACTACGCCGGTGCGTTGAACCGACAGACTATATACCTAATCTCCCATCTTTATCATGTCGAAACAACTTCAAGGAACTGCAATCATTACCGGGGGCAATGGAACCCTCGGCTCAGAGATAGCTATCGCTATCGCAAAAACGCAGCCTTTCGTGCACCTGCTGCTTCTTGCGCGCGATATTAGGACCGACAGCGTGAAGGACCTGCTACAGAAGATCCGCCTCATCGGGCCTAGATCTGTCGAAGTGGCCAAAGTCAACCTGGGCAGTTTCAACTCGATCGTCAGCTTCTGTCAGAATACTGTGGAAAGGGTCCGAAATAAAGAGATCCCGCCGGTAATGCTCCTGGTCAATTCTGCCGCCATGGCATCTTATGTCACCGATCCAGTCACCCCGGATGGATATGATCCTGTCTACCAGGTTAATTGCATTGCCCCGTTTTTGTTGACGGTCAGCCTACTTGAAGCTTTCCGAGCTGGCGATGGCACGCCGGACGGCGGTGCCAGAGTCATCAATATTGGATGCTCTGCCATATCCAGTGGCTCGTTGAACTACTTCGACGACAGCCCAGACAATGCACCGAAACCGCCCGGCACTCCTTTGAGTGCAAAGGAAGGGAATGCCCGCTTTGGGAGCAGTAAGCTGATCATGAGTGCCGCCATGTATGCATTGCGGCGGAGTCTGGTCCTGGTAAGTTTATAGCTAGCTTTGTGCGTGTGAGTAGCCGAACAATACTGACAATCCAATACGTAGACTGGCAACATGTCACTCAACATATATACTCTGGATCCCGGAGGACTGGCAGGGAATAGCCATCTGACGGCAGATGCCCCCTTATCGGTCCGAATGGCACATTCAACTCGGTCTAGCCTCKGGCCATTCCTGAGAGTGTTCTCTAAGAGCGCTATCAACAAGGCGAGTGTTCCAGCCAAGGTCATTGCGAAAGTCGCATTCCAGAGAGAAACAGTGGAGCTTTGGGGCAGGGAGCGTTATTATATCTTGGATAGCGACTACGAGGCCGGATCCGTCATTTTGGCACTGCGAGACCCACCCCTAATGGATTCGCTGCTAAAGAAAATGTTGCGGCAGGTCGAGATTGGTGTCAAGGGAATGGGCTCTCCAGACTCGAGGATCTCGCGGGTGCACGGCAATTGAAAGAAAAGTTATTTAGTTTGTATTCTTGGGGTTGATTCATTTTTTTTTCCCTCTCATTCTTCCTTCTTTTATCTGCTGCAACACATGGCGATCACCGGCATCTGGTTTGGCATGAAGCATTCTTCGGGGAGTTTGGCCTTGGGACAGGATAGGTACCTTTGTCGAAAGCTTTGCTTTATGTACACTATAACTGTAGAACAATCGAAATCTGGGGCTTTGTGATAAGCAACCACCAATGGCATTCTATCTTGCTCACTTTGTTGCGGAAGATAAGTATGTTGCATGGCCGCAAACGTCTTGAATGTTGTATGCTTCCGGATGGGGTAACAGTTGAGGGATGACATCGGATAATCCAAGGCGCAAGGCGGCGAAACAATTTGGTTGGACAGGAATACTTGGCCTGGTTTGGCTCTCGATCTAGCCAGCTTTCCTACAGCACCTTAGTTTCGACACCTGTCTAGCGCGCTCACGCACCCAATTAATCTCCTCTGGTGGATTGATTGATTAATCAATTTGGGGATACTACATTGATTTTGTGTTTTAGTTAACTCTTCTTATATCGAAGTTGGCCTCTCCGGGACTCTGAAGATCTACATACGCATCGTGCGCGTCCGCAATTCCACCCCTTCGCAGCCAAATTGCTACCACTTTCGTCTCTCCGCCTTGACACGTAATCGAGGCCGGGCTTGAGCCACTGCCGTGCTGGTGTTCGTTTCTCTGCTTCTCCAGGATCGAGGAGCCTTCCGGTTCCTGTGACTTCTGGATAGTTGATCTGCGTCTACACATGCTGTGACACCCCGAGAAATGAACAGGCATCACGCCTTTGCTAATGGCTACTCTGCCTACCCCCGCGGGCAGAGCAGAGCATTTTCCATCTCTCCTCATCGGTAAGTGGCTTTTGGTTTTGTCATCTGCGCGGGATTGCATTTCTGCAGATCTATCAGAGTAGCAGGCACGACTAGCGTTTTGAATTTGGACTGATCTATCTGCACTGCTAGTTTTCAACCACGTCCGCAGTCTGCCCTACGACGTCGAAGACTACTCATCCAGCGGCTATGTCTCATCGGCGGTATCTCTCTGCTAATACTCATCCTCATATTTCCTTCCTGGCGGGCCGCGATTCTTCCCGCATTATCGCTTGGACTTCTACATTCCAGCGAAGATCTACAGCTACAGACCGTCCGATATTATGACCTGTCCAAAGTACAAGGCACGGCGCAAGGATGGGAGAAAGAGGAGCGTGTACTTATGTTGACACCTCTCCGAGACGCCTCGTCACATCTGCCGATGTTCTTTTCACACCTCCGAAATCTCACCTACCCTCACAACCTCATTGATCTAGCGTTCCTGGTGTCGGACTCTAAGGATGATACGTTGGGGATGCTGACACGTATGCTCGAGGAGGTCCAAAACGACCCTGATCCCAAGATGACTTTTGGAGAAATCTCGGTCATCCAAAAGGATTTTGGGCAGAAGGTGCAGCAGGACGTGGAAAGTAGACATGGATTCGCTGCACAGGCGGGACGGAGAAAACTGATGGCCCAGGCGAGGAATTGGCTGCTGAGTGCTACTCTACGTCCGACGCACAGCTGGGTCTACTGGAGAGACGCCGACGTTGAGACTGCTCCTCGCACAATCCTGGAGGACTTGATGCGGCATGACAAGGATGTCATTGTACCGAGTAAGTTGTACTGTCTCGATTCTTGCGATTTCCGATCTAATGAGCATTGCAATAGATGTCTGGCGACCACTCCCTGACTGGTTGGGTGGGGAACAGCCCTATGACTTGAACTCATGGCAGGAGTCGGAGACGGCTTTGGCTCTGGCTGAAACGTTGGACGAGGATGCGGTGATTGTAGAGGGATATGCCGAGTATGCTACCTGGCGGCCTCATCTCGCATACCTTCGCGATCCATTTGGAGATCCCGACATGGAGATGGAGCTGGATGGTGTCGGAGGTGTCAGTATCCTGGCCAAGGCAAAGGTGTTTCGCTCTGGGGTTCATTTTCCCGCTTTCAGCTTCGAAAAGCACGCTGAAACTGAAGCGTTTGGGAAAGTAAGTGTCGTCTTGATTCCTTGTGCGGTGCGCGAAATGCTAAATTTCACTAGATGGCTAAGCGCATGGGATTCTCGGTCATCGGTCTTCCTCACTACACGATCTGGCATCTTTACGAACCTAGTGTAGACGATCTTCGACACATGGAAGAAATGGAGCAGGAGCGAAAGGCTAGGGAGAGGGAAGAGAAAGAGCAAGCCGAACGAGCTGAGCGAGCCAAGGCCCTCTTCATGGATCCCGGGCCGCAATGGGATATCGACAAAGCCTTTGTGCAGGATTCAATTCAAACTGAGAAGCAGGAGGCAGATCAGATCAAGGCTGACGGAGTGACTGGGGCAGGAGAGGTTAGAGACTTGCAGGGTTCTGCAAGTGACCCTGTCGCTGCTTCACCAAAGCCAAGTGTCAATGCTGCGCCCGTTGGCAAGGAAGTCGATAATCCTACTCCCCAGCAGGCAGAGCAAAGCATCTAAAGGCTTCTGACCTTCTTTTCATCTGGATTGAACTTGCTCATCCTGGAGCCAGCCGAGCTTTTCTCCCGCCGAACCTTTTCTTTCCATGACCATCTTCCGGTACAGCTTCTGCCGGATCTTTATCGTCATCTTCACTAGATAGCCTGTGGCCTGATTTTCCCAGATGGATCAGGGTGCCTGTCATATGATACTGGATACTAACATCATGCTTCCTCCTTTCTTATACTTGTTTGGATGCATCCATCGCTGTACTGGTTACAGTGTGGTTTTCTTCCCTGCCTCCGGCTGGGCTGTTTCTACGGCGCGGCGCTTTTGTAAACCTATTTAGACAGTCTATTTTTCGCCTCATTCAGCCATGTCTTACTCCATCATATTGTTTCCCGAGCTCGTGTGATTTCAATCAGTATGTCGGTTGCTTTGGAATGCAAGGACAATCAGAGAAGAGAACTCCACATTCATTGAACATAAATCTCTTGTGTAGGAATATCCGAGCAGCAATACAGGACTTCATATTCCCGTGTCAAAGATGTTCTGAAATCGAAGTAGATCTGGGTCCTCATTAAGCAACAGTCTGTGCGCCCATCATTATCGCGGACATGGCGCGTACCGCGTTAGGCAACTTTTTGGCTCCTGTTGTACTGCGTACCTCGATATTTACACCTATGAGAACCACACACTACGGACGCTCTTCGAGAATACCTAACCGACAAGTAACTACCTTATCCGAAGCGACAGGCAGAGCTTCGAAGCGCCAGCGGCAATAAAACACCGACCACCATGTCTACCCAAGCCGCCCGAAGCATCCTCTTCACACACACATCACCCCAGCAAGGATTCAGATTAATCGAGCTACCCTCAGAACTAGCGGAGCTCCTCTCTTCAAAAGAAGCACCAACGTATTTACCCCTCAATCAATTCATTCGTACGAGAGAAACTGCCTAACGCATCACCAGTCTTGAGCTCAAATCCCCGTCAACATCACACCTCCCGAACTCAAGCACAGACTCCGAGAATCATGATTATGTCAATCTATGCACTCCGAACCGAACCTACCGCATCCGTCAAGTCCAATCCTCAAACCCGATCCATATACTTCAACCTAGCGATGGCGGCGCCCAGCGAGGCGACATCACCATGGTCGGCGCCAACGACGACATAAACCTAGTGGAGACGGTCACCACAATCGCAAAGTGCGGGTCCACGCTGGAGTTGCATACTCCGGCGGAAGGGTTCTCGGCGGTTTCGTTCCTCGAGAGAATGCTGGCGGTGTATGATGGGGGTGAAGGGACTGAAGCTGTGGGCTTCGATCTAGAGCCGGCTGAGAAGGATGGTGTCATACGTCGGGTTTTTGACGATGTCCCTGTTTCGCGGGCGCAGTGTGAAGTTGGTTGGATCGAGATCTGTGCGTTTGTGCTTGGTCGGGCGGATAATGGCGAGGGCGCCGCGGGTTGTTGCCGGCGGCCTTCTGCGAGAGCAAAGCTGGAGGTGTGGAAGAGAGTTCTCGAAGGTGCGGTGCTGCAGGGTATTCATCTCGACCAGCAGTTTCTTGTGTCGGATCTGTGGAAATCGGTGCTGGATGATGAAGATGAGGAGCCGTTTCCGCGGGGCCTATTTGAGGCTGTTGTCAGGAGAGTTTGCGAGGCAGGAGATAGTCAAGCTCAAGGGCTTGCTGACGGGGACATGAAGTGTGAGTTACTGCCATGAAGGCTTGGAAATGGTCAATGTCTAATGGATATACTTGTGCAGGGGCTAGCATCGACAAAGCCAGGTGCACACGATGGGTCGGCGAGACGTACTTGGAGGCCATGGCGCCTGCTTTAGATTCGGCAATTGGGCGAAGCGAGTTCCTCAATGCTTGGAAGGATCATCTTCCTGATTCATGGCGGGATGAAGTAGCATTGTCTCAACTGACGGTATGTGACCGGTTATAGTCACCTAATCGTCTTCTTGTTGAAGCTGATTACAGAGTACTGATTTCCTACAGGAGAATTCCTACAGGCACCCAGACCAAACAACAATCTACTTCGTCAACAATATCGACAGACATAAAATCAAGAAGAATATGTCGACAGATGCCAATACTGCCACGGCGGCCAAAAAGTCACGAAACTGGCATGAACTGTTCAGAAACCAAAAACGACAGAAAAATTGAAGACAAATTCTATGTTCCATTGACATCTCCCAAGTACCCTGTCAGGTTGTATCAGGATCTATCTCTAGCGGATTCCTCTCGAAGAAAACGATGACCACCCGGAACGAAAACATGAAACGTGGTAGAAGCCAACATCCTTCAGCACCAGGCATACTTCTCGTTCCAGAGCCATTCGACCTCTTCGCCTAGACCTTGTGCGGCGCCTGTCCACCTCAAGCTGGCGATGCTGCTTTTCTCTCGGTGAATCAGCTCTGCTGGGGAATCTAGCATGGCAACTGCCTTCTGCAACAGCGGAGTTGGATTCCAGAAATCGACCTTTGCCATATCCCATTCGTGGGCCTCAAGTTGGGCCCTCCTCAGGATAGCAGCCATGGCCTTTGCCGTCGCTTCTGTCTCCTCTGGCGTGGTCGGTTCATCATACACCCATCGCAAAATGAACAGAGTGTTGTCCCGGGGTGTCTCGCCAAAGTTCCTGTTCCATGCACAGTACACTTTTGCTTTGTCCTCACCAGCGCCCTTGATTAGCGGCGGGGCTCTGTCGCCATGAAGCTTCTCTGCATAGAACTCTTCCCTCGCCCAGTGCCAAACGAAATGGTCAAAGTCCGGAAGGATTGCTACGTGGGCGATGGGGGTTTTCTCAGAAGCAGCACGCAGGGATTCCCGTTCTTTCTGTAGGACTTGGTCGCTACACATACATTTGCGAACGTCATCGGCAACCAAGGTTCTCGCCTTTGGTAGATTGGCCCGCGAGGACCGGTCATATTCTTCCTTGGAGATAGGTGGAAGAGAGATGTGCGAAGAAGGAAACGGCTTCCACCCAAATTGCGCATAAAAGTTCTTTCCGATATCCGAAAACAGCACGCTGAAGAGTGATCTACTTCTCGGCTCGTTTTCCATTTTCCACGTCTCTAGCTTCGTGCACAATTCCTCCATCATTCTCTTGGCGTAACCTTTGCCTCTGTGTTCAGGTCGACAATAGACGCTCCCCACCCCGTGGGTAGCAACATCTTCCACCTTTCCATGGTGAGCCAGCAAAGCCTTCTTCTTGTATGTCTCACAAGAACTCAAGATCGTCCGCTGGCCTCCTGGCTCCCTACGGTCAACCAAAAGCCAACAGGTCAGGGAATCCTTGGTCAATCTCTGCTGATACAAATGGTTCTCTCTTGCGATGTACGTCTCCACGTCTAAACGGCCCTTCCATGCCGTACTATTGAGCTTGATGGACTTGATCCGTTCCTCTGGTGTGGCAGGGACGAGAACCAACTCAGGCGAGTCTCCTGATGGCAACTCGGTGGGGTCAGCGGCAATCATTGTGTCAATTGGCGATTAATCGAAAAGACCCAAGTGTTTCCGAGCCTGGTACCGAACAAAATTCTATCAGTTCTTCTTTAGGTAATGACTCATTCAGTCCGTTATCGTAAGGCGATGCACTAGTTACTGATAAGATAGACGTCCGGACGCGATTGAAATAGTTTAGAAGACAATGTCAACGAGGGCGAAATCTAAGCACCGGGCCGGTCTGGGGGGTGATATAATGAGCGGCCATTGTCCTACATTCCCATGGATGTTATTTCCATTTGTCATGATTCCGATGGCAAGCGATGGCAAGCGATAAGCACTCTAGTTGGAGGCTGTACCTGCCTGTCCTGGTCATGACGTACGGGGCCTTTAGAGCGGAACGGTGGAAATGCGGAGAGGATTCTCCGTAACCCCCTAGCTACCTTAAGGTATGGTATGTACCAGTCCATACAGGACCATGTAGCCTATGAAAGTTAGGGCACAGGGTAGGTCTGGGTCTGATGACCCGCGCTAGTTCGTCTTTGTCCTAGTCACACGCCCTTGACGAGACATGCAGAGCCTATCATTCAGATATCATCTTACTCCTCATGAAGCAGGAGTACTGTTCAGAGTTCTGTTTGTTGGCCTTCTCCAAACTGTCAGAGTCTTCAAATGACATAACGATGAAGAAAATGTAGTCGAGCCGAACCCCAAAGGGACTCGGCAAGGGAGCTGTTGATGACGACACTATTCCTAATCGGACTAGCTTCTCTGGGAGATCGAACCGGGGTCAAGTCTCCGCTAGACCTCATTGGGAAGACCAGATAAGCTCTCGACCAGAATACGAATCCAGCTTCGAGCCGTGGATCCGTTTGGCAGATACTTAGATGTTTGTATTGAAAGGGATGTGAAACTTTTGACATTTAAGATCCTGATCTCTACCACTGAAGAGCCTTTTCGTTCATAGTTCCATCATGGCCCGTGTCTCTCACAGGAATAGAAAAGCTTACAGGCGGTCTCATACTGCCGCGTTGGATCACGTGGGGCGGGCTGTCTTACTTTTGGAGAAGAAGTTCGTGCCTTAAAGATACAGGCCCTGTCTTGTGGAGTCTCTTCCTTCATATTGACAGCACTGGGCTATTCGCCTTGCCTGAATTATTCGGGGGATCTTCATGGGGCCCTGTACGTGATGCAGAAGTCAAATCCATCTTCCGTCGAGCCTTCGCCCCACCAGCGAGATTGTTTGCCCAAGGCTTGATTATATCCTCAATATTGAATCGAAGCGCATCATTCGATGTTACAGGGCAGACAGCAGAATTCTAGCTTAGTAAATCTGGCAACAAACAGTGCGCATCAAGTTGAAGAATACTGTATCTTCGTCTCGATGTTAGATGATGATCATCTCTTGAAACTGGAGTTCTAACACAGTACGTGCTGGCTTTCCTTGGTGCCTCAGGCTTATCAACTCTCCAGCATCTCCATTGATAGAAAGTTCAAGTGCTCTATTGTTCCTTTTGGACTTTTGGCATCTATTCTCTCCTATCTCCATATTATTTCGTATAGATCATTGTTATTGTCATTCAAGCATGAATAATAATTAGTTTGCAGGACCGCCCGATTTCGCGGAGGTCGATGTATTCACTTCAGCGTCCTGATTTCTACCAGCCTCCATCATAGGCCTCATGAAACTTGGAAAACCAGCTCACATCTGTTGTTGACGTCTTTCTTCCAGCCTTCAGACCAGCCCCCATCTTTATTGGGAAGCTTCTGATGTTCATGCCCTCCTCTCTCTCTGTCCATCTCTCTCCGTACCCTCACTTCGACAGAAGAGCTCTTCCCAATTACCTTCTCTACCTTCGTTTCACACTCTCACGTTTCTGTCTAAGCACAATCTGCAAGTACTTGCAAAGTAGAAACTCCTTATCTATCTTCCAGCTGTACTGTTTGAACTCGATTGCTCCTTGCCTTTCTTCTTTGAGCCAAGATGGCCCAGGTCTCCATGGACTCTGTTGCCGCAAACGCTGAAGACAACTATGCCCTCGACCATGACATTCAAAGCGAATCAGATTTGGAAGAGCTTGACAATGATTCCTCCTGGGACTCCGATGTACAGAACTATGACTGGGACTCTGACTTAGACGAGGACGCCACTCTTGCCAGACCTGCGAAGAGGATAGCCGTCAATCGTGATGAGAACGCCGCTTTCATTGACTTGACTGACGAGCCATACCTTCCAGCACCAGGCACTATGTCAACTCCAACAACAGCTGCGCCTGTCACACTCATGGCGGCCGCTCCCTGTCAGTACTCCAATGATACAGCCGCATTGTCGGTCCAGATTATGGATCTTTTCCCAGATATCTGCCGCGAGTATCTGAAAGGCCTTCTATCTCGCTATGCGGGCAACATGTCTCACGCTCTAGCCAGTGTGACACCTGAAAAATTGGTGGCCACCAAGGAGATGGTGGTGGAGGAAATCCTGGCCAACCCGTCATATCCCAAGCGCAAGCAGTTGAAGAGGAAGAGAGAAGAGGCCAAAGACGATGACAAAGATAAGAAATGGACATCGATAAATCACGACGGGGAGTTTTGGTATCAAGAAGCAGCGTAAGTATTCTCTTGTGACTTCTTCGGCATACGAGATCCGTTCCAAAGCTCACACCGTTGCTTTAGGACATACTTACTCGGAGACATGTTCCCCTTTGTACCAGATTATTACATCCGCCAGATGCTCAGGGAGAAAAAGAATCTGTTTTCAGCTTGCCAAGCTCTGTCAACTGCAGAAAATGCACCTCCATCTACTCGGCGGCCTTTCGAGAAATTGAAACGGGCAAGAGTTCGCAGACACAGGGATATACGCTTGGACATATACAGCCATCCGGCCTATGGAGAGTTGCAGATGGAAGTGAAAGATGCCAAGCTAAAGCTTGCCAAGGACGCTGGTAAGTCTTTCTGTCAATGTCAACATGAGATTCGCTTTTGCTAACCAGTGCATACAGAGCTCATCCACGATCAGAAAAGGCAAGAAGAGGCCGAGAGAAGGAACCAAGAGCAGCATGCCCGAGCGGGGACTCTGGTAGAATGCCAATGCTGCTATTCCGATGTCCCTCCAAACAGAGCCATAACATGCGAAGGAGAGAATGTTCATTTCTTCTGCTTCTCCTGCATCCGAAAGTCTGCAGAGACACAGATTGGCCTCATGAAATACCAGCTTCAATGCTTTGACACTAGCGGTTGTCAGGCTGGCTTTCCCCGCTCCGAGATAAAAGAGGTGCTTGGATCTTCGATGATGGCAAAATTGGATGCTCTACAACAGCAAGACGAGATCTCTCGTGCCAGCATCGAAGGGCTGGAAAGCTGCCCATTCTGCGAATTCAAGGCCATCTGCCCTCAAGTTGAAGAAGATCGAGAGTTCCGTTGCTGCAACCCTTCTTGTGAGGTGGTCAGCTGCCGGTTATGCAAGGATGTCACCCACATACCCAGAACGTGTGAAGAAGCGAAAAAAGATAGGGGTATCTCTGAACGCCACCTGGTCGAAGAAGCCATGAGTGAGGCTCTGATTCGCAATTGCCCTCGGTGCAAAGTCAAAATCGTCAAGGAGTTTGGTTGTAACAAAATGACATGCCCGAGTTGCAGGTGCTGCATGTGTTATTTGTGCAAGAAAGACATTACCCGTGAACAATACGCTCATTTCGGCTATGGTCCCAACGCCTGTACCGTCG